AGGCCGGTCTCCCTAGTAAAAATACTGGCAGGTATTTTCTAGCAATCTAAGTGATACTGCACAATTTATTCTTTAATATCTAGCTTATGAAAATATAGTATCTCAGTTGTTGAAACTGGCCACTTCTGTTCTTTGAGTCATGGCTGGTGTAGACATTTTAACTGCCTCTTGATAATTTCTTTTAGAATAATGAAATGGTTTGAGTTGGAAAGAATTTTAAAGATCATTTGTTCCAACCCCTTTGCTGAGGAACAGATTACAAATGCTATCCATCACTTGGCCTTGAACACTTTCAGGGATGGGGTATCCACAAGTTCCTTGGGCAACCTGATCCAGTGCCTCACTGCCCTCTGAATAGCACTGCCTTCTTCTTGACATCTAATCTTAATTTCTCCTCTTTTAGTTTAAAACTGTTCCTTCTTGTCCTATGTCATCCAAGTGAAAACTTGCTCTTCCTCTTCTAAATAAGACCCCTTTAGGTACTGGAAAGATGCTATTCAGCAGCTTTCTGTTCTCCAAGCGTAACAACTTTCTCAGCCCATCCTCAGAGGAGAAGTGCTTCAGCCCTTTCATCATCTTCATGATCAAAGGTGCTGCTCTGGATTCAACCCAGCAAGTCCCTGTCCTCCCTGTGCTGGGTGCCAGGACTGGATACAGTGCTCCAGGTGGGTCTCAGCAGAGCAGAGCAGAGCAGAGCAGAGCAGAGCAGAGCAGAGCAGAGCAGAGCAGAGCAGAGGGGCAGAATCCCCTCCCTCCCCTGCTGCCCACGGGGCTCTGGATGCAGCCCAGGACACGTTTGGCTCTCTGGGCTGTGAGTGCCATGGCCGGGCCATGTGCAGCCTCTCACCCACAGCACCCCCAAGCCCTTCTGGGCAGAGCTGCTCTGGGTCTGTTCATGCCCAACCTGTGCTGGTACCAGGGGTTATTCCTACCTGGGTGCAGCACCAGCACTTGGCCTTGTTAAGCCTCATCAGATTCTCACAGGCTGCTTCTCAAACTTGTCCGGGTCTCTCTGAATGGCACCCAATCCTTCAGGTCTCCTGCCCTGTTCTGTAGTGAATCCGCTTTCTCTGTGCTTTCTTTTTTATTGATATATCAGCAGAAGCTGTCTGTTGCCTTTCTCATCCCTTGCAGATTTCCCTTCCCAGCTGTGCCCTTCCTAACTCCCTCTGTGCATTTGTCCTCTGTACCTCCCTGCAACCTGTCCTTGCTAAAACCTTCTGTAAAGGCTTTTTAAGTTAGATGCCACTCAGAAGTTACTCTTTCAGCCAAACTTGCCTCATGCCATACATCCTTGTTTCTTCACACTCTGTTCATATGCTTCAGAGAAGTTGCTTTCAAAGCTCAGCTCTTTCTGCTGAGTCTCTTGGCATTTAAGGTAATTGAGTTCTTCCAGGCTACCACTTACCAATTTCCTGGACAAGCCAAGACCATTGCTCTGAAATCCAGGATCTTTATTCTGCTTTTTGCCTTCATTGCTTTCCTGAGTATTTCAAATTCTTATTTCTCCTCGTAGTCACTCAGTCTAGGGCTGTCGTCAGCTTTTATGTCCCTATCCATTTCTTCCTTAATTCATACAACATCCAGCAGTGCAGCTTCACTACTTAAAGGAGTACCTGCAGAAAAAATAAGTCTCTGATGCTCTCTAAATTTCCTGCACTCCGCTGTTTTGCTCTGCAAATGTCTCAAAATTCCCCCATGAAAACATGTAATTATGAAGTTTCTTCCAGTTGTTTAAAGTCTTCCTCTTCTTGACTGGGCAGTCTATAGTGTGTGCACAGCATGTTAACCCCTTGTTTGCTACCCCCATCATACTGATCCATGAGCCTTCATTCTTGACTTCTTGGATATGTTGGGTTGTTGAAATAGTGGGAAAACAGGGTGCAATATTTTAAGAAAATTTTAGACACTAAGTACTGGTGAGGTAATATGTTTGCACACAAGAGGAATATCATTTGTTCCCTGAATGACTTGGGATGAGTAATTTCCCCTCTTTTCTTCTCCAGGTCTCAGACTGCGAAGTCTCTGTGGTACAGACCTATCATAACAGAGATAGATGATGTGCAAGCACTGCCACCTTCCAAAGATTGCAGGCATCATTGCATTTGTTTTCCTAAATGTAACTTGCATCCTCTTTTCATGGAGGCTGAAGTTTGGTGATATAGTGAACCTGCAAGAATATTTTCCAGTGAAAATATAGGAGGGGAATGTCCATATGCACAAAACAAAGATTTGGAAGGAAACGTGGTTGCCAAAAGAATATATGTACAGAATTCCCTCATTACCAGGAATATGGTAATTTTGGGCATGACAGTGGAAAAGATCATACCCTAATTTTCTCTGCTAAGTGTAAGGATTTTGAATTTCTGGGAGTTACACAAGTAAGCTGTCTGAGACAACAGGACAGGATTAAGGCAAAAGGAAATGTAGTTGAGTGCATCATGGAAATTAATATTTAGTTGACCTGTTCAAAGTACTTATAATATGGAAAGACAAAATATTTGCTGTATTTTTTGTTCAGAAGGAATCTTTACATACTTTTGAACAGCTGACCTCTGCTTTATTTCATGCCAACCAAGTTAAGCCTTATTTTCATTTTGTATTATGCTGTGGGGCTTCCTTCTTTGGGTTACAAAACATGAAAATTCTCAGAGCACTGTGCAATTTTCTTATTATCATCCACATAGGAATACCTATTTTTAGGCTCAAATATATGCACGAAGACTTTGATAAGGAAAAAATATTTCTCTGACCTATCTACTTGCAGTGTTGAGGTGTTTCTAACTATAGTGTTCATACACACACAAGCACACACACTTCTCTGTGTTTTTCATTACCAGTAATTAAAAGCTACCTGTTGACAGGGTGCTCATGTTAGTTTTCTGCTGTGAGAATTGTGCTGCCTTTCTTGACTAAAGTAGTTTTAAGAAGTATTTTAAACCAATATGTGCCTACTGGCAGTGCTGTAGTCATGTTTAGCTACTACCTTTTCTGCAACTTCAGGTGTCCAGTGTCTGCAGATCAGAAGATAAAAGACAAATGGTTTACTTAGTCTTAATACCATTTTAAGCCTATTGCTCTAATCAGTTGATCAGGTAGCTAAGCTGACATAAAACCCTATCAAAATAAAATGGGCTTCAATAGACAAAGCAGGGGTTTGCAAAATCCATCCCTTCCTAATATCAGTAGCTGTGCCTTGTTTTAAACAAGACAAGATTTACTTTGATTTCTAGATTAGTGCAGGTTACACTGAGCAGAACATTTAATGCATCTCATTGATTTTCCCTGTAATACTGTTTATACACAGGTCACTGCTCTAATAATTTGTTTTACCATTAGAATTCTGTATGCAGATCTAGTCCCCAAGGATATCAGTGTGTAACCAGATACTGTGTGATCTAATCAGGTACTGCAAGAAATATATTATTACTTCAACACCTAGCAGTAGAAAGCTTCATCAAAATGGAAAAGTTGTCTAATATTTACAGCAAAATGAAGTTCAAAGAGGCAACCATAAGAACCAGGTGTGTACAAAATTTAAAGACATTTCTCAGATTAAAGACATTTCTCAGATTAAACAAAGCCAAATCCAAGCCAGATTCTAGGATGATTTGTCATGACTCTATTTGTTATTAAAGAAGAACATATTATAGCTGCTGCTTCAGTTTATAGGGTTTATTCCAGTTCAGGTAAAGTAGCATCACTTTCTGATGACTGACTAGCATGAAATGACTGACTAGCAGAATTTCATTAATGTGATACTTACTTGCTACAGCATGTGTGCTTTGGAAAAAAATTTTGAAAAGCACCTGCAAAAGCTTTGGTGGCAGACAAGACCAGTGCTCTGAACTCATTTTGATGAAGGATTTGGATCTCTGAGCACCTAATACTGCAGTCCATTTCCAGAATACAAGTCCTGCTTACCCTGAAGGAGTTTTGCAAGCATTGTGTCTCAGACTGAGCATCAGACCTGTTTGCCACTGCAAGTCTGACTAGAAGCATCTAAGGCTGGAATAGCAGAAGTGTGGCTCTGCCAACAGCTGGACAGTGTTTCTGTGTAAACTGCCAGGTGCAAACACCAGGTGTTCAGCAGGGTAGTGATTGACAAAGGTGAAAAGCATCTCCTAGAGTCAGCTCATCTCTCCATAAAACTGCTTTCATGTCAATGTCTGAATGCTGAGCATTGTTAATTGTGGCTTTTGTTTTGAGACTGTGGGGTTTTACAAATGGACATACCTTGAGACACAGAATTTTGTATAGCAAAGTGTGTGGAATATGTACGTATAGAGTAGAATATATATTCAAATTTATGTTGTAGAAAATGGTAATTCCTATATATAGGCTTGTTAAGTTTTACATCCCATTCCTCTGAAGAACAGGCAGGAGAGTTTCTGAATTTTATCAGTGGCTCTATCTCTTGTACTTATTTAGCAAAGGATAGTAAAGAATTTTCAAAGTAAATTTAAGAAGGAAAAAAGCATTCAATAACCTTGTGGATGGCCAGATGAGACTTGAAATTAACATAGAAAGGTTATGTTCCTTGACATTTTTCCAACTCTTATTTTATCTGGATATAAAGGTGTGTGTGGAAGGATGTTGGTTTGTTTTGGCTTTTTTCTTTGGTTCTACAAACTAGACATTACATGATTCAGTGTGCAGGGCCAAACTCTCCTTGGATCAAGGGACTTATTGTGTGACTAGCTTTGCTACCAGAATTGCTTTGATGTTCAGTGACCACTGGGTACATTGAGCCTAAAGACATAAGTAAGAGCTGGAAAAGAGTAACTGAGCATCCAGACAAGCAGTGAAACAGACTTTCTTTCAAGTTCCTACAATGTGTTGTTGGGGCAAATGCTCCAGACAAACGTACTGTTGTTGAAGGAAATGGTGAGGGAGGTGGTTGGTGGGTGTTGGTACAGTTCCGAATATTATTTTAATTGAGAAAAACTGACTAAAGGCTTTTAATATATTTTTATAATTTTCCTCTCTTGTGTTTTTAGGGTCTCATGACTCTTTTAGCTTCTACATTGATGAAGCCTCTCCAGTTGGGCCTGAGCAGCCGGAGACGGTCCAGAATTTTGTGTCAGTTTTTGGGACTGTGGCTAAAAAGCTGATGAGGAAGTGGCTGGCTACACAGACCATGAACTTCACCAGCCAGCTGGGGGCAGGTATACGGTATTTCGATCTCAGAATTTCCACCAAGCCCAGAGACCCAGATAATGAACTCTACTTTGCTCATGGTTTATTTAGTGCCAAAGTCAAGGAAGGCCTGGAGGAGATCAATGCATTTCTCATTGAGCATCCAAAAGAAGTGGTCTTCTTGGACTTCAATCATTTCTATGGGATGCAGAAATGCCATCATGAAAAACTTGTCCAGATGCTCAAAGACACATACGGAAACAAAATGTGTCCTGCTATATTTGCCCATGAAGTCAGCCTCCAGTACCTGTGGGAGAAGGAGCACCAAGTGCTAGTGTTCTACCACAGTCCAGTGGCTGTCGAGGTAGCCTTTCTGTGGCCAGGCCAGATGATGCCAGCTCCCTGGGCAAACACAACGGATACGGAAAAGTTGATTCAGTTCCTGCAGGCATCGATCACTGAACGAAGAAAGAAAGGCTCCTTTTTCATATCTCAAGTAGTGCTGACACCAAAGGCTAGTACAGTGGTGAAAGGGGTTGCAAGTGGTCTCAGAGAAACGATCACAGAAAGGTGAGTTTGTTGCTGGTAAGGTGTGCTGACTGTGCTGCATGTGTGTTGGTAGTACTGTTTTTCCAATTCCTTCTAAAGGCATTCTAGCAGATGCATTTCTTCCATGCTACTGTGGGCTAGTCAGAACTTGGCATAATCCTGAAATGTTTAAAGAGTAACACATTGAAGGACAAGCTTTTGCATCTTGAAAGAAAATCTGCCACTGAAGCATAATGAGATATTAGGAGATTGGTTTAACCTTCTTTTTTTTCTGAATGCAGGTTTTGCTAATTTGCTTTGTTTTCCAAATGTGGTTTCTTACCATAAGCATTGAATTGTCTAGGATTTCCTTACTGGAAAATCTTATCTGTGTGATCTAGACAAATTTACCTGTATGATCTAGATAATTTAAGTTTTTATTTGCGCATCAGGCTTCAGATATAGGATAAAAAAATTTGTCCTGGCTCATCAGCAAAGCCTGATGCTGCAGGATTTGCCCTTACACAGTTTCTCTGTCTCTATACCATCACACATGGTATCAAAGACAGCAGAACACCACTAGAGAGAATTTGACTCCTTAAAGTCTTTCTTCATTAATCATACAGGAAAGAGATGGCAGACCATTGTATAGCTTCTGTACATGGAATAGCTTGTTGACAGGCCATTAGTTGTTATGTTACAAAAAAATCTGCCTGTGCAAGACATGCATTATTTATACCATCCTGACTTTGATAAATCACAGCCAGTTTTGAGCTTAAAGGCATATATATGTGACTATGTTCTTGACAACTTGGTAGGAAAACTGAAATTTAATGCCTAGACACAAGAGCTATTTTCTTTTTCTACTTAAAAATAAAGAAGGGTTGCAGAGTGTAAAAAATATTTACAATGGGGGCCAGTGGCCTGCTAATGTTTTGCTCTCTGCATGGATGTGCATGTTACAGGAAGGTCTTTGTTTGCATAGCTCCCTCTGTGAAATGAGAGATACAGTGTCTGCAAAGAAAACATGTCTCATATTTGAGAAAGGTTGAGCTGTTTTTACAGCAGCTTTCCAAAGCAGCTCTTAACTTGAAAAATAGGTAAAAACTTTATCTGGCATTGCAAAACACTGACATGGAAGGTTTTATGAGCTGTGGAATGTGGTCTAGAAGTGCTTGTGCGACTGCACTTGCAGCTGTTGGTACAGTCTTCATCTGTGTTTTAAGGTCTCCATCGGTCTGGGGAGTCTCCCTCACTCCCGAGTCTGAAGAGCACTTCTCTATACGGAAACACTCCTTTGTTGGTGGATTTTACTGATAAACACCTTGTTGATATAGAACTTTTTCCTCTAGCAAACATCTTCCTGAGTGCTCTTTAGAACATGAAGTAGCACAATCAGGAAACTGACAGGTTGTTCTTAAAGCTTGTTGTATCAATAAAATAGCCATTTTATTCGTCTTTGGCTTATAATGTGCTTTTTAGAAGCTATTTGTAAAGCAAAAACTTGAAATAGATGCTGAATATGTTTGAGCTTTAAACTGAACTCTTTGTATGCCTTTCCCAACAGCAAATCTTGAAATTGTAACTTCCTTCAAAAGTCAATAGATCATTGGGCTAAAAAATCTGGAAATGTTGTTTTGCCAGATTTCAAGTGAGATTTTTCACATTATCCCCAAGTGTGTAGTCACATTTCTACATGAAAAGTTGTTTCCTTTTTTGCATAATTCTTTCAGCCATTATGAGAGAAATAGACCTTCAAAATAATCTCCATGGCCAATATTGAGTCTTCCAAGTATGGCATCTCATTTGAATTTTTATTTTTAATACAAAAAGGAAGATGCAGGCTTGGAATTGATGAAATGTTGATAGAAACTGAACCTGTATTTTGAGTTAACTACTCTAAAGGTAAATATCAAATATATTCAGAACTGCTCCTCATTTTGTGATTATTCTGTTAAAAATAAATAAGCAAGAAATTAAAAGATAAGTACAATTTACACAGTAGATTTTATTCTTCACTTATACCTTCAATTCACTGTGTTAATGTTTCAGTAGCATAAAAATATATAATCCATACAAAAGGTAAAAATATATACATTCCAGCTGTGCTGTGCTTGCCACTCTGAACCATCACTCAGTAAAAATATTATTTTGTCCTTTTCAAAATAAATACTGAGATCAAATCCCATCTTTGTGTCGTAGATAGATAACATGTGCTTTTGTTGCCAGTAACTGCACAGACTTATAAATTATACTGTTTTCTCCTTATTAAGAAATGTTGGATAAACGCCTTACATTAAGAATCCAATTATCTTGATTTTGGAAGCAGTTTTGTAACCATACTTGGATGGGGTTTTCCCTATCATTGAAATTTAAAAGTTCTGAAAGCAAATGAATAAGGTTGAGTTTTTCAAATCATTCTGGTGTGGGGGTTTGTTGTTTGGGTCATGTTGGGTTGGGTTGGGTTGGAGTTTTTTTCCTAAATAAAGTACTACATTAAATAAATGTTCCTTTTACATTTTGAATGAAACATATAGTATTTTCTTTTGTTTTGTTTGTCTACCTGCCTTTTACATATTGACTTAGTTTGAAAACAGGGCAAAGTTTAGATCCTCTCAGATGCAATGAAACATGCCAGGTTTTCATCTCTGAAGTTGTTTTTTAATAATGAAATTTTTTATTATTTGAAGAGCAGTAACTGCCTTAGAGGGAGAGAATGGTTTCCCTCAGTCACAGCATTTGTTGGACTAGGAAATCTGTGAGCAAACTCCATATAGCAATACCATCCGGACTTTATTGTATTGTTTTGCAGATTTCTTTGGGAAAGAGCACAGTGAAATATTCCTCTGTAGCCAAGATGGTTGGTTTAATGGCTTTTTGTCATGATTGCCTGTGGTGGTGGAGGTCCACACGTACACTGCAGTAGAGCAGCCTTCCAAGGCAATATATTTCAGAAGGAGAAGAGCTGTTATTCCTTGATCTGTTCCCTAGAGCACAGATATGCAAGCTGTGAGGCCCAAAATAACCTCAATTTAAAAAATCCCAAAAAACAACAAAACATTTTCTCCTAAAACTCAATTCAGTGAAGATATACCAGGAATTTTCTACTGATAATGTTTGCTCACAGGCTTTGCTGTCATAACAGGTAGCGTTCTGTGGTATGGCAATTAGAAAGAAGGAGAAATTAAAAGTTATGAAGCTCTCTGTCCTGCACAAATACATAAGGCAAAGCTATTTCTTGTAAGGTCTTCCTTGGACCACAGTTCAGTGTAACAAAACTTGGTGACACATATTTCACCTTCACTATTTGAATGAGGAGAATCGCTTGCATGTGTGCACATTATGTTTCTTGGATTTGATGAAAAGCTTTGAGGACTACCAGTGTGTTTCCAGGCTTAACATTCTGTCACACATGCAGTTTAGATGCCAAGAAATGTTCTTTGATTAGCAAACAATATATGCCAAATGCATTACATTTTCTGTGCTCATTGAATTAACTTCACAGTGAGACAGCTGCCTTCAGTATATCTGAAAGTTGGTTGTGAGACACCCTTTTGATTAGTGTAGAGCTGTTCCTAATAATCTAGTTTGCTTTCTGATTTGCAGTGAAATTACTAATTTTATCTATGACACTTGAGACAAGTGTGATACTCTCTTTGTTGTCTCTGTCATTTATTAATGTAGCAGAAGAATAGATCTCCTTCAGAGGATGCAGAAATCCTGTGGTACTTGCAAAGCTTTCAAAAACTAGAAAGTAAACACACACTCTGCCAATTGTCACTTGATTTCTAAATTAATCTCTAAGGATAATGTTCCCTGTGGCTCACATATGACTAAATCCCTGCCTACCATGCTAAAGCTTCCTCCTTAGCAACCAAACCAAATTAAAAAAAAAAAATATTCTGCACATGAGAATGAACCTTTTGAAGTGGAGGCAAAGCATCCAATTCACACTATTAACAGAAGGGGTGGTAAGTAAGCCACAGAAACTGTCAGGAGAAAATCCTGGGTGCAGTCATGAACTAAGTAGAGCCAGATTTAGCTAGAGTATGGATATTGTATGATTAGGTGGATATTGTATGGAACATTATTCCTGAAGTTGCAAGAAGGAGGATTTTTTTGAGTCAGTTACTGATGGTGCCACACCTCCATCAGCTGAATTTTTGAGTTTCTGTGTCACAGGAAGTGTGGGAATTGATCATATTTTAATCTTCACTCCATATTGACTGATGTAATTCTTAAACTATTTTATATGAAAAAGAAAAACAACAAAAATGGCAACTATGTTTTCTGAATTTTCTGTATCTTTTCTGATTGTAAACTTGATGTCTATCTGTATTATAGGCTGCAGGAGAGCAGCAGGTTCCAGTGAGCTGGTTCCAATTTTAGGACTCGAGAAGCTGAAGTGTCAGCTCTTTAGCTCCTGAGAGGTGAGGGGAGACTCAGTCCCTCACTAATGTGTGTTGTACAAGCATGCCTTACCACATATGTTTGCCTTGGGACACAGCTATCTTTTCCTTTCTTCTCTTTACTGTTTTTTTTGGTTTATTATTTCCTGACCACAGAAGGAACAAAATGGAATTCTGGTATATTAGTAAGCTATTCAAAAGAACTCTGGGCAATCCAGACAAATCATTAGTATTTATGTTGTTCCTCAAACTATTCTTAATTACTTTTCCAGTCTTTCTACACAACAGGCAATCTCTGTGTTTGCACACAGAACAGCACAGAGAGATTTCATTGGAAGAATCTGTCTACCACATCAACAGGCCTGCACAATGAAACCCCCAATGGGCTGTGTATGTGTAGTGGCATTTCATCACTGGACCATCTGTCTGCATGAGAATTTTAGTATAGCATTCCCACAGGAAGGGACGCATGGTTGTGTCTGATGGCTCTGGTTGTGAACTTGGAACAGTATTAAATTGTCACAAAATACAGAAGCACAGATTCTTAATAACTTTGCTAAAGTATTTATCTACATACTCAGTAGTAGCCTGTGGGATTTGGTGGAGAAAAATGACTGGCATGGTGACCACCAT